GCCCAATGTATCCGATGATTGCATACTTGTTACATATTGTAAGGTGTTGCATTATCATGTCTCCCCCTAACCCCCCCCAGGGGCCACGCCACATCCACCGACCCAAAGATGGTGGACCCCTTCTGGGCTTCAAAAACCGCCAAACCGATGGAAAATCTATGATTTGGGCCCCGTGCCCTCCTGGGGGCCCACGATGGGCTTTAGACGGCCCACGACGGCCCCGAGAGGGCCCAAGATGGCCCCAAGAGGGCCCCCAAAGCGCCCAAGACGGCCCAAGAGGGCCCCCAGAGAAGCCCTGATAGCGCCTCCGCAAGCCCAAATCATTGATTTTCCCAAAATGGTTTTGAAGGATTTTCGCGTTCTCGCTTTTTTCGACTCCTGACGCCCCAAGAAGCCTCCAAAATCGCCCCATGACGGCTCAAGAAACGCCCGAGAGGACCCCAAGATGGCCCCAGAGGGCTTCAAGACGGCCCAAAGAGGTCTCCAAGACGGCCCAAGGGGCCCCCGAGACGGCCCAAGAGGACCCCAAGAGAGCCGCCAGGCAACCGCGAGAGGCCCACAATACGGCCTGCCAAACGGAGCAACGTCCAATACGGCTCAAGACGCCCCCAGGAAGCCCAAAAAGACTCCAAAGAAGTCCCCAAGAGACTCCCGAGAACCCCCAAAACGACTTGACTGTACGTACTCCAGACGTGCACCCCGCGAAGCGAGAGGAACATCGAGCTGGAATCGGCAATATGTCGCCAATAGGTCGCCGATAGGCTCCGATGACGAATCCGCACGTTCCTGGACGGGGTGTGCTATCGGGCGCCTCTATCGGCGATGAGTGGGCGACAGCGATGAGTGGGCGATTGGGGGTCGATGCGTTCCCCTCTGAGCCTATCTCTCCTTTACGTTGCCCCTGGCCCTGTTGTCCCCTGCTCCTCCTCCTCCTCCTCCTCCTCCTCCTCCTCCTGTGTCTCTATTCCTCCGTCTCCTGCTGCTCCTCCTGCTGCTGCCGTTCCTCCTCTTTCCCTTTCCTCTTTCCCTCCTCCCCCGATTTCCTCCTCCTCTTCCTCCTCCTCCTCCTCCTCCTCCTCCTTCCGCCGCCTCCGCCTGAGGCGGAACGTTAGGGGGGGACTGGCTCAGGGGGGAAATGTTGAGCTGGAATCGGCGATATGTCTGAAATCGATCGGGGATCTTCTCTTCTCCTACGTGACCTAACCAAGAGCCCACAAGTGCCAAATCCGACGTCGGCTCTGGTTCCGGGCAGGCTGTTCTGTCCGGCGGAGGGGGAAGAGGAGGGGAGAGGCAGGCACACAGCGACGAACGCGCAGGCAGGGGGCCGGGGCCGTCGGGGCGGGCGGGCGGGCGAGAGGGGGCCGGGCAAAACAGCAGGCACGGGGCAGGAGGAACGGGCGGAGGCGAGGGCGAGGATGAGAGGGGAAACAGCCGCAAGCAGACCAGCCGGGCCAGGGGGCGGGAGAGAAGAGCCACCCGCGACGAGGCTACGGACCCTACAGGGGCGACACCGCCCAGGCGGCGCCGGCGGAGCGGTGGAGCGGGCGGCGGGCGTCGGATGCATCAGGGGGGGGGGTCGGTCGTGCTTGCTCGGCGGGAGGGGTTGCCGAGGTCGTCGCTGGGGGAGTCCAGGGGGCGGGTGGCCGACCGAGCCCAGCACGCTGCGGCGGAGCGACCTCCTCCTCTGGCCGCGTCCGCCTTCACTGCCTCGGCGGACACCTCTGGATCTCGAAAGAGCACGGCTTCGCCCTCGCTGCGGACTCAGCAGGGCCCGCCGTGCTCCCCACATCCGCCGATGCGATTTTTGGCGTTCCGTGGCCGCAGACGCCCCGAATGGTCCCGACCGCTTCCCTGGCGGGTAATTCATTTCCGTCTTGCACTCTGTTTCTGATGGTCAGGGATCTATTGGCCCGGGTCAATCCAGACTCGGGTCAGTCAGGCGTTGCAGGATCCTGCAAGTTCCTGCAGGCTCCTGCAGGATCCTGCACCAGAGCCCAGGTCGGTGCGACTCTGTCCCTGCAGGGTCCTGCAAGATCCAGCGCTCTGGCCGACCCCCGTTCGCATTGAACCCCGTCTCTTGAGCCAGGGCTGAACCTAAACGTTGTTTTTCGTTTTCGTTTTGTTTTCGTTTTCCCTCGTTTTGTCTTCAAGCCACCTCTACCGCAGAACGAAGCCGAAACGAAAAGGGCCCACGACATCGCCCCAAAACGCCGTTTAGGCCCAGCCCTGTCTGGAGCCCCGAGATGGCCCCGAGAGCCTGCTGACCAGCCTCCCAGGGGCCGATACTCATGGTGAGGAGGAGGAGGAGGAGGAGGAGGAGGAGGAGGAGGAGGAGGAGGGAGGAGGAGGAGGGGGGAGGAGGAGGAGGAGGAGGAGGAGGTGGAAGCGCACGCTCGTGCCGTCGGCGGCCGAGGGAGGGCACCCGTGCGCCCACGGCCGGCCCCACGCCCCGCGATCCGCCCTCGCGGCAGGCCCGGCAGGGACCGGTCCCAGACAGCCGACGCCGTGCGCTCTGCAGCGCGGCCCCGGCTCGGTCTCTCGTCTCGAGTCGTTGCCGGAGGACAGCAGAAGCGGCGAAGACATATATATATATATATTATATATATATATATATATATATATATATATGTATATATATATATATATAATATATATTATATTCGGATCGCCGCGCGGATTTCTTGGATCTGCGCTGGGCCCCCCTTCCTGGCGCCCGGAGCGCGCCAGGACCAGAGGCGCACCAGGGGGGCCCAGCGCAGACCCGAGAAATCCGTGCGGAGCTTCAACAACTTATGTTTATAAAACTCTTACACGTCGGTCGGAAAAAGTAGGTGGAAACATGAAATGGGAAGGCGGATGAGGTAGATCGGGTTCGGTCCCTCCCGGAGAATGCCAACACACAGCGAAATAGTATCAGTTCTTGAAGCAGGATGGCGCTCGAATTAGATTGGGATCTGGGAATCCAAAAATCGGCCGTTGGCAGAACTGGGTTTAGTGGGACCTGGTTTAGTGATGTGTACTGGGGGACGCCACTCCCGCCCCGTTCCACTAACCGGAACTGCCGTCACCCGAAAAACACCAGCTACGGCAGATCTGTTTTAGTTATTCTGGCAAATTTAAGGGCTCCGGGGCCCTACGTACTACTAACTGGGTCCCCTTGCCTGGTGTCCTGGCTATACCGGATAGATTGGGATCTGGGAATCCCAGAATTCCTTCCAACGACCGGCGTGTATTTTTCTTAACTATGTGTGAGAACCTCTGGGCCTGGCGATGGCCCCCCGTCGGGGTTGCTCAAGGTGCCCCTGGCCCGAGGTGCCCCCAGCTTTTCGCTCCACTTTGGAGCCCCATGGGCCCCTGGTCACGGTTCCCCCGGGGCCGAAGGCGACCCGAGCAGGAGGAGGAGGAGGAGGAGGAGGAGGAGGAGGAGGAGGAGGAGGAGGAGGAGGAGAAGGAGGAGGAGGGAGGAGGAGGAGGAGGAGGAGGAGGAGGAGGAGGAGGAGGAGGAGGAGGAGGAGGAGAACAGGTCGCCTAAGCCCTTCGGAGAAACCCTCCAGCCCCATGGGCCCCTGGGCCTCGTGAGGGGTGCTCTGGAGGCTGTGGGGGCCTCTTTGGGGATCCTGGGGGCACCTTGGGCCAGGTGCACTTCTGCCAACATCCGACCTTGGTGGCCCAAAACGTCCCCCCCCCTCCCCAACCATCTGGTGTTCCGATTTTTTTCGGGGCGTGAACCTCCAGAGGTCTGGACCAGCTCCCGAGGGCCAGTTCTTCATCCCGAGTCGTTCTCTGACGGCCCGGGGGCCCGTCGAGGGGCTCCCGAGGTTGAGAATAGCCCCAAACTGGCCGCTCCAATTTCTGAGCCACGGATCTCTGGGCCAGACCCTGGAGGCCCAAAACGTCCGAGACACTCCCCGCCATTTCTTCTCTACGACGCGAGGGTGCCACGTCCGCCGGGCTCCTCGCAGCCCCCCCGCGCACCCGCCGAGGACACCGGCGCCTCCTGCCCGCCCCGCTTCTCCCGCCCCCTCGCAGCAAGCCCCAAGCGGGCCCCGCCCCAGAGATCCGAGGCTCTGAGACTCTTCGGTCAACAGCTCAGAACAATTTCAATGGCCGGTTCTGGGCCATGTCCGGCCTCCGGCGGCGACCGGCCCCGGGGCCGTCCACAAAACGACCCAGGACGAAAACCCGGCCCTGCAAGGAAATGGTCCAGACCTCCAGGGACCCACGCATCGAGCGCCGGATGTCTGGGTTGGACTCCCAAGAGACCTTATTGCACGGTGCGTCACCGCACGGCCAAAGGACCCAACAAAGCCCCAAGTCGCCCGAGCGTCCTCGGAGAGCGACTGGCGTCCCAAAACCGTGCGGTCACCCTGGATACCAACTGACTCACCATACGGTGGGGGCCCCGTCCCCCCCCAGACCTCCGACGATATGATTTTTTCGTTCTCTTCCAGATTTCGGCCCTCTGGGTGGCGGTTGCCGGGCCCCGTGGACCAACAAAAACGGATCTGGGGCGAAACACAAACCCCTGGGAAAAGGGCTGGAACCTCTGGGGCCGCGAACTAAAAAAATCACATCGTCGGCTACACGCAAAAGCGAATCTTGGCAACGGTGACCTTTGGTGCGCGGCTTGCTGGCCGTTGCGTGCGGTGCGACAGTGGCTGCCTGCGTTCGTGGGCTTGGCCCCGCAACGGCTCCCGAAAGCCACGCAACAACGGTCACTCCCCAGACATCAGGCGCTCACACTTTTTTGATGCATGGGTCCCCAGAAAATCTGGACCACTTCCTCAAGTCTGCTCCTTTGCCCTGACATCGTTTTCTGACGGTCCCCGGGCCCGTCGAGGGACCGCAGACGCCGAAAACCCCCAAAAAAGCAGGCCGCTCCAATTTTTGTCGGAGCCTCGGACCTCGAGGTCCAACGACGGATCGCTCTCTCGCGCGGCCGGCATCGGCGGGTGCCAAGGCCGCCCGGCGCCCGACGCGCGCCCGGGCCCCCAGGGGGCCTGCGGGTTCGGGCGCCGCGGCCTTCGCGGCGGGCGGCGCCGGCGGCCCCTCGCCGGCAGGGGGGGGTGGCGTCCGGAGCTGGGGGAGGGGGGGGGGACGGCAGGGGTAGGGGCCACTCGCGAACCCTACCCCTACCCCCCACGATTTCTGAGGGGGAGGGTGGGGTTCACTTCGTGCGGGAGCTCCCGAGCGAAGTGAACCCCACCCTCCCCCTCAGAAATCGTGGGGGGTAGGGGTAGGGTTCGCAAGTGGCCCCCTAAGGGGGTCCTGGCTCCAGGGGGGGAGCAGCGAGCTGCGGTCGGCGTCGCAGCGCCGACGGATCGGCAACGGGTCCACATCGGCCACGAATGCAGAGGAGCATGAAGCGGCATACACGTTTCTTCTCGCAGGTCCGCGCGGATTGATTGGATCTGGTCCCCTCCCTGGAGCGCGGAGCGCGCCAGGTGCCGCGCCGGAGACGCCTCCAAGCGCTTCCAGTGTCGATCCAAGAGATCCGCGCGGACCTCAGAGAAATTGTCCTTATGCAATTTTTCGCCCTTTGAGAATGAGAGCTTGGGGGTCGGTGCGTCTCCCTGGAGCCTACCCCCCCCCCCAACGTTGCCTCTGGGCGGGGCAGGAGGCGGACCACGCCGGAGGAGACGTGTGCCTTGAGGGAGGGGCGCGGAAGGAACAGGAGAGGCGGGGGAGGGATTCGAGGGGTGCGGCCAACACGCAGTGAGATCCCGAGAAAGTGCCCGCTCCCCACCCGTCAGGATCAGTCAGCATCGAATCGGGAAACCGGATTGAACCGACATGTGCATCGGACGGGGCCGCATCGGCACAGAACCGAAATGAAACTGGATGGGGTGCAGCTGCACCAGAGCGCTGTGCCAACATCGGGCCGCATCATATCGTCGGAATATGGACATCGAATCGGATCGGGCCGGCCAGAATCGACATCGAATCGGACTGGTCGGCTCGGTCCGGACCCTGCCCCTGAAGACCCTCAGGACGACCGAGGAGCACGAAATGCGCGAAACGGAGGGACGGCTTCGAAGCGGGGGAGGCGCTCGGGCCAGGGGAGGAGATGGGAGGTACAGTCTAATCGTATGCAAGGGCCTTGGAAGGCCATGTTGACACTTTGCGAGCGGGGCGCGGCCAGCGAAAGCGTCCAAGGATGGGCCGAAGGGGAAGGATGCAAAGGGTAACCTTGGGAAATCGCTCATCCTTACTACGCGGGTTGACTGTACGGGAAGTGCGGGAGACAGGGCCCTCGTACCCTCAAGGCGTCCCAGCTGGGCGTCCTAGCAGGTACGCTCGGGCGCCTCAGGCAAGGGTCCTGGCAGATAGTTTTACGGCCCCAGGACAAGATCCTGGCAAATACATCTTCCAACGGCCGTACCTTCCGTACAAGAGCGACGCTGACAACGATCAGCCAGGAACTCTGAAACGTAAGTGGCAGTGGAGGGCGCAAGCGGAGGCAGAGACGAACGATAATCAAGACTGTCGCAGATAGGGGAGAGAAGGTGAGGGGAGAATTGGGGGGGGGAAGGGGAGACGAGTGAGAGGAGTGGAATGAGAAGTGAGGGTAAGAGAAGGGTAAAATGAACGAACACCTGACTTCTTCTGCCGCGACTTTTCGTATTTTCACCCGCTCTTGCTCCCGATTCAACTTGCCCGACCTTGTGTTTCTGTGGTCGCCGCCCCAGGATCCCTCAAGTGCCAGGATGGCGAGACCGCCAAGATGCCTGCAAGAGACACCTCATGCCAGGAGGCGCCCCAAAAACGCCCAAGAGGCGCCCAAGAAGCGCCCAAGAGCCCCCAGGATGCCACCAAGAGGCCCCAAAAGGGGGCCCAAGGTGGGAAGCACGAACTGACATGTCGAGCCGTTTGTTCCACTATGGCTCGGGAGACCATCACGAGGCCCTCAAGATGCCGCCAGAGGCCCCAAAGAACCCCCGACGAGGCCCCAAGCGATCTCCAAGAAACCTCAAGAGAGCACCAGTAAGCTTCCGATACCCTCCAAGAGGTCTCCTCCAGATACACCCAGAAGGCCTCCGAGAGGCCTCTCGTCCACGACCCAGGCGCGGTGGCGGGATTGGCCGAAGGCCTGACTTGGTTTGTGTATTCTTTGCTGGTTGTTGTCAGTGTTATTGTCATTGTCGTTACTGTTGTTGTTGCTGTTGTTGCTGCTGTTGTTGTTGCTGCTGTTGTTTCATCTCTAAAGAACAAATTCTGTTGATCCCCCCCTGCATGGTAACCGTTATGTTTTCCGATGAAAGCGCTTCCCTTGGGGCTCGCACCCTGTTTTACAAGAGGGGACATGACGTTCCACCAAACTGTGCCTCTGGCCCCCGATTTACAACAACAGTGGCTCCCGCTTGATACGCCCCCGTTAATCTATTGCCACATCGCGCTCTCGCGCGGGACTTCCTCAGAAGGCCCGCCGCCTCCTGAGAAAGTCTGCCCCCCCTCCTCGCTTCGCTCCCAGGCTTGCGGCCGAACCCCCCCCCCTCCCTGGCTCCCGTTCCCTCCTTCTCGTTCTCCTGCTGCGCCTCCCTCCCCCTCCCGCCGTCCCCCCCCCCGATTCCCGCGCCTCGTCCGCCTAGGGGGGCCCCGTGGCTGGCCTGCGGGGTGACCGGTCCCGGCCACCCCGCAGGGTGACACAAAGGTCCACACAGGTAAGCCTCCTGGGTGGTTTTTGCGTGAGCCGTCGGACTCTCGCTCTCTCTCCCGAGACGGCCCAAGCGCCCCCAAAGATCACCCAAAGATCGCCCAAGAGGCCTCCAAGATGGCCCCAGAACGGCCCAAGAGACCCCCTAAGACGGCCCCAAGAGGCCCCCAAGACGACCCACGATGCTTTTAAGACGTCCAAGATGGCTTCCAAGACGGCCCTGGAGCATTCCAAGAGGGCCCCAAATCGGCCCAGAGAGGCCCCCCAAACGGCTTCCGACGGCGTCGGACGGGCCAGGAGCCCACCAAAACGGCCGAAGATGGCCCTAAGATGGCCCAAGACGGCCCAAGAGGCCTCCAAGAGGGCCTCTAGGAAGGCCCGAAAAGGCCAACATCATTGATTTCCCAAGAGTTTTTGAAAGATTGTGGCGTTTGCTTTTTATCGGCCTTCCGACGGCCCGAGACGGCCCAAGCGCCCCAAAAGATCGCCGAAGAGGCCCAAGACGGCCCCAAGAGGCCCCCAAGACGGCCCAAGAGGCCTCCAAGACGCTCAAGATGGCATCCAAGACGGCCCAAGAGCCCTCCAAGACGTCCTCCTAGAAGGCCCGAGAGGGTCAAGATGGCCTCCAGGCGGCCAAGATGACCTTTAAGATGCCCACGTGTTCCCCGAAGGCTTTCCAAACCGATTCGGGGAACACATGGTCCGATAGCTTGGCAGGTCTGGCCTCAACGTTCGGCCACATAGGCGCTTCCAAAAAGGCAGGGGGCGGCGGTGATTCGCCGTAGGCGACTTCGATATGTATACACATGTGTGTATGCATATGTGCCCGCCGCTGCCGCTGCTACTCCGCCTCCCCTGACATCCGCCGATGTGAGTTTTGCAATCCGCGGCTCTAGAGGCCCCAACAATTTCACAGGGGTTAGGCTTCCGTTCAGACAGTTCCTCCTCCTCGTCCTCCTCCTCTGTCCCTTCCGTTCGTCCTCCTCCTCCTCCTCCTCCTCTCCTCCTCCCCCTCCTCCTCCTCCCCCCTCCTCCTCCTCCTCCTCTCCTCCTCCTCCTCCCTCCTCCTCCTCCTCCCTTCCTCCTCCTCCTCCTCCTCCTCCTCCTCCTCCTCTCCTCCTCCTCCTCCTCCTCTTGAAAGTCCTCCTCCTCCTCCTCCTCCTCCTCCTCCTCTCCTCCTCCTCCTTCCTCCTCTTTCCTCCTGACATCCGCCGATGTGACTTTTTCAATCCGCGGCTCCAGCGGTCCCGAGAACTTCCGAAGGGGTCGAATTCCTCGCTGTGGGGCCACGAAGCGTGTGATGGGTGCGCCAGAACGGGTGCGGCGGCGCCATGCGAACCCTCAAGAACCCTCCCAGAAGGGCCTTCGGTGGAGCTGCCTATGGGGCCACGAAGCATGTGAGGAGTGTGCCGGCATGGATCCGTTTTTGATGTTCTGTGGGCCCGAACGCCCGCTCCCGAGGGCCGAAATCTAGGGAGAGACGCCGGCTCGGAGATTCGGGTTCTCCTTGTCCTCCTGCTCCTCCTCCTCCTCCTCTTCCTCCTCCTCCTCCTCCTCCTCCTCCTCCTCCTCCTCCTCCTCCTCCTGGGGGCCTTGCCCTTGCCCTTGGCCGAGGGCGGCTTCGGCGTGGGCGCCGACGGCGGCGCCTCCTGGACCGCCGCCGCTTCGTCGACGGGGGCGGCTCCGCCTTCGCGCTCTCGGGGGGGCGGGGCGGGTGGCGGACGGGGCGGGCCACCTCCTCAGAGGCCTCCTCGATGGGGTCGGAGGACCTCGCCGCATCGGCGAACCCTCGGCGATGTGTTGCCCATGCTCGGCGATGCATCGGCGGTGCATCGGCGACGTCGGCGTGGACAAAATCGGGCTGCACATCGAGCCGCATCGCCGATGTATCGGCGATGCGGCGCGATCCCCCGACCCCACCATCTACTCCGACCCCATCTGCTCCTCCTCCGCTTCCCCTAGGATCTACCCGCTGCGATTCTCCTACGCCAGGCGTTGTCGCCCGCTTCTGGCCCTGGGACCATCACGCATCGGCCCGGGCCGAAACGTGCCGCAGCAAGACGGGGCCCACGACTCCCGTGGCGACTCTTCCCAGCGCTTTTCGCTTCTCGCTGCTAGGGCTCCCAACTTCGCGCTTCGCGCTGCGCGAAGCGCGAAGCGCGAATAACTTCGCGCTCTCGCGCCGCCCTCCCAAAGGGAGAATAGGAGGACGAGGAGGAGGGGGAGAAGGAACGAGGACCGCGAAGCGCGAAGCGCGAATAACTTCGCGCCCTCGAGGGAGCCCTTGTCGCTGCTGCGTGCGCTGCTTCTCCACGGCGTCCCCCGTTGGCCCTCCTCCTCTTCCGGCCCCCTCTCCGCGCCCCGCGCGGCTCCTCCCGGGGCCTCTCGGGCCACAGTGTGCCGTCCGGCGTGCCCCGCCGTGGCCCCGACCGCCGCTGGGGCCGCCTCTGCGGCCGCCGACCCAGCTTTGTGCTGCTCGCCCTCTTCCCTCCCGCTCGTCCTCTTCCTCGTCCAACCCTCGCTCGCCTCTTCCTTCCCCCTCCTCCGGCCTCCCGCCTCCGCCTCCTCAAGGGAGAACGGGGCTGAGGGAAAGGGGGGGAGGGAGGGCGGGGGGCCGGGGGGGGGGGGCGGGGAGGGCAGGGGGGGGGGGGAGAGAAGGCAGGTGTGAGGGAGGGCAGGGGGGAGGGAGGGAGGGAGGGCAGGGAGGGGGAGGGAGGGCAGGCAGAGAGGGGAGTGAGCGGGGCTCCTCTTTCCCCGCCCATCCCTCTCCTCCTCGTCCACCTCATTTTCCTCGTCCTCCGCATTCTCCTCCTCTGTCTTCCCGCCTCTCCCTGCTCGGGGAGAGAGGGAGAGAGTGAGTGAGGGAGGGAGGGAGGACGGGGAGGCGGGCAGGGGGGAGGGAGGAAGGGATGACAGTGAGGGTGAAGGGGGGGGGGGCGGGGGGTAAGTTAAGTGCGCTCGCGCCATATCTGGCATCCTACCCCTCCCGCCCATCCCCTTCCATTGCGCTGAATTCGTTTCTCTCCACCGACTGGGGTGTCCTAGAAGATCTTGGCCCCCCAAGTGACCCCATCATGTGGTGCGCAATCATTAAAGCGGGCTTTGTAAATTTGGGAAGGAGGGGGAGGAGGGGAAGGAGGGGGAGGAGGAGGAGGAGGAGGAGGAGGAGGAGGAGGAGGAGGAGGAGGAGGAGGAGGAGGAGGAGGAGGAGAGAGGGGAGGAGGAGGAGGACCGAAGTAAGCCTGGGATCAGGAGGAGGAGGTGGTGGATGAGCAGGAGGATGACGAGGAATGAGAAGAAGGAGGAGGAGAAGGAGCAACAACATGAGCACGATGATTGAGAGAAGCCGTGCTAGCAAGAGGCCCAGGGGAATGGCAGAAGAACGAACGGGAGGCTTCTGACGAGCGCCCTGGACCCGAGGCGGCACGGGCCAGGAGAGAGGATCGGGCCGGCCTGCCTGGTAGGGGGATGCAGCGAGGAGGGACTGTGGGCGCAATGGCAGGACGGCCCGCGGGCCGAGGTCGGACGCGGGCGAAGGGCGTCGGCGCAGGCGTCCGCGCGGGCATCGGGGCGCCCGTCATCAGCCGCGGCGTCGGATCGCCGCCGCGGCTCGACAGCACCGCGCTCGCGTCGAGCCGCGGGGGCGGCCGCGGGGGCGGCCGCGCGCCGCACGAGGCTCCGTCGTGCCAGGCGCCAGCGGCGGAGAGCTGCGGGGGAGAGGGGGCACCCAGAGGAGGGCGAGCACGAGCGCCGTGGGACAGTCGTGAACGCCGGGGCTGGGCTCGTCGGGGAGGGAGATCGCAGAAGTGCCGCCGATGGCTGAGGTCGCGCTGAGGCCGAGCTCGTTGACGCCGAGGTTGAGCTTCTCGAGCTTGTGAAGCATAGGATCGGCTTGTTCTCTCTGTGCCCGACTGGGACGCCCCCACGGCCGCGGCGCCCTCCGTGGGCGCCGAGGCGGGCGCGCTCCCAGGTCGCCCTCCCCAGGACGGGCGCGGGCGACGTGCCCTGAGCCGACGTCGCAGGAGGGGCCAGCAGCCCCGTGGTGGAGAATCACACGCACGCGCATCCTGGGGCTCCAATCGCTCGGCTGCCGGACGACGCTCGGCGACGAGGGCGTGTCGTGCCCTCCCCTGCCAGGCTGCTCGCCCCCGCCGCAGCCGTCGGCGAGGGTCCTGGCACGGAGGCGCGCTCCAGAGGAGGGGCGGCGGCGGCACGAGTGCGCCCCCCCATCCCCCCCTGCTTCGCCCCCCGTGGCAGTGGCTGGCCCGCGCGAGCGCGCGGTGTGGCGCTCGGGCTCGTGCTCCTGGGCGCCGCCCCTCCTTGGACAGACCGGGCATGCTTCGGCGACGCCCGAGCTCCACCCTCGCTCGCTGCAGCCACCAAAGCTCCCTCGTCCCAAGACTCCGGCGTCGTCCTTCTTTCACGACGCAGACCCTGGGAGACCTGGACCCCTTCCCCAAGACCGGCTTTCCATACCGAACCTTTCTGTTGACGGTGATGCCGCGGCCCGGCAAGGGCCCCCCAAGTCCGAAGATTGTCGAAAACGAAGCGTCGTCCCTGTTTGGCAACGAGAGCAGGTGTCGGTTTGCCGGAACAGCCGCGGCTTCCCAGCCCGCCAGGGCCGGCCCTCGAAGGGCTCTCCGTGGGGGGGTCCGTGCCAAGGCCGTCGGGAGGGAGGGGCCGGGTGCTCTCTCGCCCCGCCCTGTGGGAATGCCCGGTGTGAGGGGCACGGTGGGCGGTCAGGGGAGGGGGCGGGGCACGGGCGAAGGGCAGAAAGTCTACGTGTTCGACCAGGGGGCCCTTTTTTACCCATCTGCCCTGGGCGGTCTTCGGCGGTCTTCTGGCGGTCTTCGGCCGTCATTGGTGGCCTTCGGCGGCTTCCTGACGGTCTTCGGCGGTCTTTGGTGGTCCTCGGCGGTTCTGGTAGTCTTCGCCTCTTTCCGGCGGCCTTCGGCGCGAAAGCTGGATGGCTGCGCTCAACAAGGGGCCCATCATCGAACACTCGTGGAGAGTGGCGAGAAGGAGGTCCCCCCCGTCCCCACGCAGGCAATGCCACGAGTCGAATTCTTTACTCCTGGGCGCTCCACCCTCCAGCCGGGCCACGGTCGCAGGGACAGCGGGTGCCCCAGTGATCCCCCGCCTTTCCTCAAGGCTGGGTGGGCGGGGAGGGTCCTTCACGCAGCCTTGTCCCGCGGACCACAAGGTGGCCACAGGCTCCCACCATCGGTAGGGAGGAGGTAGGTCCTCCTCTTCCTTCTCCTACTTCGCCCTCTTTCTTGGGAGGGGGGCGAAGGGGAATGTCGCGATTCCGCCCCGCCTCTGGACGTGTCGACGGCGAGGGGCACGGTAGGTGGAGGGGGGGAAAGGGACGGGGGAAAGGCGAGAGCGCGAGAAATCCAGAATGCAGAATTCAAAAAAATACGAGACATGGTGCGCGCACGCGGGAGACGAAAGAGAACGCGCGACAGGCGCACCGGCCCGAAGAGTCGCGACGAGGGAGGCGGGAGAAGGGAGGTCATTCTCTCCCCTCCCTCCCTCCCTAAATCGTCGGCGCTGGCGGAAGCCTCGCTGAACTCCTCGTGAGAGCCCTGGCACACACACACAACACAGATATTGGTATACTCTCCCTTCTCTCTCGACCAGCACCGACAGTCTCGATGATACTCCTCAAGATGGTGAGCCCCTGATGGGCTCTGTACAGAAATTCTCTATACATACAGACACGCTGGCGTGTACTCCGGTAGCTTGCTACCAGCTCAAGGGCGCCCTGGGGCCCAATGGCCGCGGTCAAGTACCGCTCGCGTCGGTCCTTGGGCACTCGCATCGGTCGGCCAACAGCATAAACATTTACACAGGGGGAAAAGGTTTCGGCCCGACCGGTCTGAAACTACGTCGCGCACCGACTAGATATCTAAAAAGCCGCATTGAACACATGTCGCGCAGCGACTGGACATGGAAATGAAACTGCATAGAACAGATGTCGCACAACGATTTGATATGGAGATACACCTGCATAGAACAGATCTCGCGCAGCGACTTGGTATCGAAGTAAAGCTGCATAAAACTGCGTAGAACCGATGTCGCGCAGCGACTTGATATGACAGTAAAGCTGCATAGAACAGACCGAGCACACAATAAACAAATCTCGCGACAGCGAGCAATCTGTATAATGATCAAGCAAGCTGAAAACAAATCTCGCGAAAGCGAGCGATATGTATAATGGACAATCAAGTTGGCCTCAATCACTTATGTCTCCCTGGACTTTCTGCTCTAGAAATTTGAGACCACGCAAACCTCTCTTCCGAGCTGACTCAAACTCTGGGTCATGCACCAGCGTCCAAAAACCTCTGTTCATAGAAACGTCGAGCAACTTCTGTGCCTCGTACTTGATCTTGGCGCATCCGTCTGCCACCTGCGCATGCGAATGAACCCAGCTGAACTCTGCGCCGCACTCGTTGATACCCCGCTTGGATGCCATGCGCTCGATGGCTGAGCGCTTGTCGCTGAATCCTAGCGCCGAGCTCTCGGAGCCCTTCACGGCGTCGTAGAGACTCCTGCAATCTGTGACCAGCGCGCTCTGCGGATCGTCTCTGGTAGACTCGTTGCGTTCGTCGCCCTTCAGATGCACCTTGGCATTCTGCGTCTCCATCCGCTCGAGCTGGGTGTACTCCAGCTCCTCCGCAGCCT